AATGGAAAGACCGATATTTTTTTCTTCGTGGATCCCGGACTGAAAGTGAACGCTGACGGTTACATCGACCAACTCGAGGAGAATATCCTGCCTTCATGTCGTCGCCTGTACCATCTTGGAAACTTTGTACTGCTACAGGATTGGGTGCCACCACATGGAATCGAAGGGCGTTGGAAAACTCTCGCCTACTTGGAATGGAAGGGCGTTGAGTACCTGAAGAAGATGGAATATCCAAGTGTGTCACCTGACCTGAACTCGATTACCGGGTTCGAGGCGGAGCTCAACAGGGTGGTCTACAGTGGCGGAGAAATCAACGACCTCGCTGAACAGGCACCGAATCACGGTCGCGTGGCAGAATCTCTCGATGGCGCTCGTCCAGAAGGCTGTGGCGGAGTATCGTGATAGTGTACAATGTGTTGTTGAATATGATGGTGGAAATGTCCAATCAGAATTTAATAAAGTGTAACTTATATCGCCTCGGAAGTCAAGGAAGAAAAGTGTACTTTTTTTGCATCCTCCCTGTAGATAGACGTGCAAGACCAAAAATATATAACATTTGTACTGCGGGGTTCTTGCTAGTTCTGAGCACCTCATGGATGCCATCGCTCACAATGCAGACCGGCACCACGCAAAGTTGGGCATCATCTCGATTTTGACTTGGGCTCGGGTCGTGAAGTTTTGCTCGGCTGTGTACGCTTAGTTCAGAGAACAACTAACAGTTGGGATGAGCACAGTATGGGCTGCACCATTGCAAAAGGAGGTCCAACTAGCTGCATTGCATGAACTTTGGTGTAAATTTTGCTATTATGAAAGCAGTTTGAGCGGACAAATTTTCCCATTTGTTCGCTTCAGATCTCGCGCAGCTTTAAGTAGGGATTGACAGTGAAAGAAGCTTCTTCATACAGTTCCACGAGCAGCAGCTCTCTCGAACTGAGTTCACTTGGATTTAGAGCTCACTTCGCCTCAAGATTGTAAGCTCGCGCTCTAATGCGTTGGTGTCACAGAAGATTGTCCTATAATTGGGGGCATCTTCCTTATGTGGCTCCTTTAGTGTAGCCTCAGCCTACAGCTTTCATGATCGAGCCAAGGTGGATGAAGAAAAGAGTTTGAGGGAGGGTTTCGAGGGCCAGTGCTGACGGCACGGGACCCAATCCTGTCCATATTGCAAACAGGACAGAGAGCAAGAAGAATAAGAAGAGAGAAACAGATGAGTCTGGCCTATTAGGGACAGTATTAGCCTTCGGCTGTTACTCTAAACTCACGTAACATTCACACTCTGTTCAGGCTAAGTATTTGTGGCTGAAATTTTACGTCAGAACTTTTTCGAAAAAAAATTAATAGAATCTGTGGGAGTAGAGACTGAAAGAACGGACATGAATTTCTAGGAATTCTGAGCTCAAGGTTCATAAGATTTAGTTATGCGCACCGTGCAAAAGAAGGCCCCCCAGACGTCGGCCACAAAGGAAGAAGTCTGCGGATGATGGGATGTTTCAGGAGGACCACTTTCGATGGCGCTGCGTCAGCACGTTTCTTTTGTTTTCTTCTCTCTTGGAAATCGACAAAACTGTATCATATAGTCTAAATCAAACTCGTTTTCCTCAGCTTCAATAACTGGCGGAGAACGGGCTGGCGGCGGACTAGCCAAATCCAGCATTACGCAAATCTAGCACTTTAAGCTGGTAGTTGAACTTCCGGTGAGAGATTGTGAAAGGATTGTATGAAGCTGAAGAGTGAGTGATCTGAATGGGCACAGTTTAGGCTCCCACTGACTGCAGATGAATTCCCAAACGAGTGGCTAGTGCTGAATTCAGAAGCCAAGCCAGCAGGACACGCAGAAATACGTGGAGACGTACATTCGGAAATGGTTGGAGAATTATGAATTCTGCTAGAAATGAGGTCGAAGAAAACTGTGAAAATAACCGCAAGATGGTAGACTCATAGTGATCAACAACAGTGGAGGAACTAAATCCAAGTAAGGAGCGATAGTACTTCAATAGTGCCACGAAATGAATAAACTTTCCATATTAATTAGACAATGTACACAAAATATCGTATGTTGAATGTTCATTCAAGCACATCTGCATCTGATTAATAGGCTCGAATAGCAAGCTTGTGCATCATTTATGTAGATAACACAGATATGGGAAAGAAAGTATAGCTGACTGCGGCGTTTCTATGGAAATACTTCAAAACGAGGTTGGGTCGCTTCCAATTACGCCTAGTTCTATTATCTTGTCACACGTTCTCGCTATACAGCTTTGACATTGCCAAGCAGAGTGCATAACACTTGAGAAGGCTACAATTGGAATGTTGTATTAATTACGCACACTTCGACTGAGTAGTTCATATACAGGGGGGGCCAAAAAGTCCACTTTTCTTCATTGG